GAATAACAACCTAACATAACAACACCATAACACCTATGACACAAAAGAGAACTCCAGCCAGTCTTGAAGAGCTGATCTGACCACAATATGCTCAGGCATGAGATTGTGTTTGAAGATCCAAAGGTTTCTGGATTTCTAAAGCCACCAGAGCAAGTAGGTTGAGAGTTGTATTCTTGCTTCTACCACTTCAGTCTGTTTGATGAGACAAAGATGCTGCCACCAAACTTTGAAGGAGTATGTGAACTGTTGAAGTCCATCCCATTGCACAGGTGCAATATCCCACAGCCTTTGAGCTCTTGAACATTGAAAGAAAATGTGCTCTGGTGTCTCTGGGTGATCACCACAAATCTGGCATCTAAAACAGACATTCAACCCTCTCTTATGCAAGTTGACAGCCACAGGCAGTGTTCCAGAAAGGCACTTCCAAAGAAAGTGTTTAACTTTCCCTACAGTTTTCAACTTCCAACACTTTGCTATGGCCTTGGGTTGAGACTGTGAAGATGAGCTGGATTCTGGAATGTCCATGAGGAGGAGTTTCCTGTCAGCCAGGAGTTTATATGTACTAGCCACTGAGAATTTGCCCTTAGAATCAGGGCCCCAGAACAGCCTGTCTGCCCTTGTTGGATTGAGAGATCTGATGTTGAGGATTTCTTCACTGTCAGTTGCATTAAATACCTGTTTGACCAACCAAGAATCACAAATGGAGCCCATGATAGATCTTTAGGTACGGCCTTTTCGGGAGGGTTGCTTCGTGACCAGGGGCGGAGCCAAGATTTATAACTTACCTGGGCTAAAATTATAGTGGATATTAAATAAGAAAATAATATAAAAAGTATTATTTTTTAAGTACTTTTGAAACAAAATATTTTTTTTAAATATATTCATTCAAATAAATTATTTTTTTTAGTTCAAATTTAGGACTGACCTTAAAAAGTCAATGACATTCATTATCACAACAAGAAAATAAAAATTATAAAGAGAGAAAAGAACACTTATTAGGAATAATTTTTTCTTGTTGAACAATCATTTCTTAAATTTCAAGAAACTATTTAATTTTGTCATAAAACACCGCAAACCTCACATCTATGAGATGGTTATTTAAATTTAAAATTATTCGGTAACTTTATTTGATGTGATTATGCCATATTTTAATTAGTTAGACTAACATTATAAGTTCAATTTCAGTTTTAATTATATATATATAATTAAAATCATATAATTTTTGAGTATACATATATATAATTATAATTATATAATTTTTAAATATATATATAGATACATATATACATACCTGCTCCCAGAAATCCTACCCGGGCTAAAGCCCATGAAGGCTTGAACGTGGCTCCACCCTCGGTTGCTTCGTGATAAATATTGGAGAATGCTCTATAATTGGAGCAGAGTTATGGGAATTGTTTCAGGCCTTAACTTAGCATGGAACTTAGGGTATCGTTGGGTAGAGGTTGAAGTTGACAACTCCAGCGTTAGGGGATTTGCTAATAATACTGAGGATTTAGAAGGGGCTCATTCTAGTTTGGTACTAGGGATATGAGAGCTCTTCAGTCGAGATTGGTAGGTGAAGATTTTCTCTATCTTCCATTATGCTAATTTTACTGCGGACTACTTAGGGTGTGATTGTTTATCAACCAAATTAAAAAAAAAACCAATCAAAACTCAAATTTAACTCAACTTTAACCCAACTCCACTATCTCCATTATTACCAATATAATTAATTAATATCAACCAATCATTTTTACACATCACATCAATTTTAATTCACTATTCATCCACTCACATAATTTTAACTAACCACTACTTCCAATCATTTTTCTCTTACTTTTACATCATATCAACTTTAATTATTTTATTTTAAATATTATTTTAATATATCCACTAACAACTAACCATACTAACTTTTTTTAAAAGTAACTATAGTTAAAAAAAACCAATTAATTTCTAGATGAATTGATAAACAATCACCCTCTTAGCGACTTGCGGCTTCGGACTCCCTTGAGTGTCATCAGCTTCCAACTTCGTCTCTTACTGTAGTTTCGTGGCTCGAGCACGACTTAAGAGGTGTCTCTTATCCACGAAATATTTTCCTCTGATAAGTTGTGAGCAACCGTCTTTCTTCGTAGCAAAAAGAAAAAAGGTTAACATTTAATTGTTTAGGCGCTTTCTTAAGTTGAATTCCAAAGATACAATCATTTTTCATCATTTTTTGCATTTTCATTGCCATAAGCCCATAAGAGACCCGTAGATAAAAGTTTTGACTAAAGTCCAGGCTGGTTACCGCCTCGCGTGAAACCCTAGTAATAAAATCCCAAAATTAGAATTCTCACTCAAGTCACGCTTAACCTCCCACCTGAAAGTGAAACGGAGCTACTCAAAATGTCCGATATACCCCCAGAAGCCATGACCGACGTCCCAACCCAGCTCCCGGAGCTACTCTCGCCATGGACTCTGCCGTTTGACCTCGCCGAAGTCATCCTCATTCGCCTTCCGGTGAAAACCCTCAAGCGCTTCCGGGGCGTCGAGAGTTCCTGGCGTGCTCTGATCGACAGCGAGAAGTTCGCCAAAGCCCACCTGAAGCATTCCCTGACATCCAACTCCAACCGGAATATCATCAGCGGCGTGCTCGGCTTTCAATGGATGGGCCTGGACTCGCTCGACGGGGCACGGTCTATCGAGCTGGAGTACGAGTACGACAAGAGACACATGCACGCGGTTTCCAACTCCATCAACGGTTTGTTTGTGGTTACGAGGGAGCCGGAGCCTCCGATTCTGTGGAACCCTTTCGCGAGGGAGCACAAGGTGTTGCCCAAATGTCCAATTGATTTCCCGCTTAATTTCCCGCTCGTATCGTCCTGCTATTGCGATATCACGCACGGGTTCGGCTACGACTCCGAAAATGACGACTATAAGCTTGTGAAGGTTATGTGGTTTAGAAATCGCGATGCCTGGTTGGCTTCCGAGGAGTGGATTTACAGCCTTAAGTTGAATTCCTGGAGGAGGACCATGGGTACGTTCTACAGGGGGCCCTGGCCCACCCACGTTGAAGGAGTCCTCCATGCCCTTGTTCGGACTGGTTGGGGTCCTGGTCTGTCCGATACTAAAATCATGGGTTTCAATATTGTAAGCGAGAGGGATCGTGAGGTGGCGATGCCCAAGGCAGACGAGAAGGGTCTTGTTCATCTGAAGCTGGACTTGTTCGATGGACGTCTACTTGCTCTGTTCTGTACTTATGCTTCTGATGTCGTGGTCTGGGTAATGGAGGAGTACGGGGTAAAGGAGTCATGGGTCCCGTTGATAACGACCCGGATCGAGAAAGATGGTTTTATTTGGCCGATTGCTTACACCAAGAATTTTGACAAGATTCTCGTCAACTGCAGTGGTAGATCACTTGCTCTATTTGGTGTGAGGAGTCCTAGTGTTGAGCATTTTGCATTGCCTTCTGGAGTTTGGAATAAGCTTTGTGTTGAGACACTGATTTCACCTCAGGGCTGGAACAGAAAGGATTCCAAGGAAGAAAGCTCGACTAAGGATCATATCGAGGATGGAGGAAATATCAACAATGGCAACGAGACAATGAAGAACAATGGGTCGGAACGGTATATTTTCTTAATGATTCGTTATTCTTGTTATTTTTTTATATACTCTCTATGATCTATTTATGTGTGGAGTTTTATAGTGTGTCTCTTCTTCATGTAGATTAATCACAGTTGCTTTTGCATATTTTTTGCACAGTTGATTTCTTGGTGTCGGGGTTCAAGCTGGAGCTGTGAAATCAATACACATGGATGAGGTGCATATGTAGCTGTCTGTGATTTTAGTTTCTACTGTTATTTCCAAGAAACTGATGTCTAACCAAATCTTGTAACTGAGAAACTTAGAATTGCCAGTTTGATGCTGACGATCTGTTTTGTGGTGTAAAAGTCTCCTAGTAGGAACATGTAATGGAATTAACCTGGTCCCTATGAATATAATAGTTTCTTGTATTGTGTTGCTTGTGTAGCCACTCGATTAGGCCACTGAGTGCATATTTGGCTCTTTGTTCATCTAATGTTTGCTTAGGTGATAGATCATTGCACCGTGTGCCAATGCTTCTCTATTTCTTTCAATGCAGGAATGTTTCGTTAAATGTTATCAGTAGGTAGTGGCTAAAATACATCCCTTAATGTATTGAAGATAAAACTGGTAGCAATGTAGTCACAGATTGGGATAAATCTCTAAGGTTGTTTGTATGATTTTCAAATGACAATATGAGAGTTGAAATGAAGGAAGTTTGAACTTATCCAAGAAAAACTATTTAGATTAATCATGTAGATATGATTTGAGAGAGTCGGATTACCATGAAATTTACTACAGCTTCTTTGCTCCTCTGTTACTTCACATGAAATAAAGTAGTTCATGTCTATCTCATCACAGGTTCCTTTCTTTCTTTTTTATTTTCTCTCTTTTTCTTTTTGGTGTGATTCTCAATTTGTCAATCCATGTGAATAAAAGATTGAAAGGAGAATACAAACTTAGAGATAAGTGCGTTTGTTATCCTTTTCTTCTTGATCAGTTCATCACTCACGCTTGTCTTGGCTCTTGAGAGGGCAGTGATATGCGGGAATTTTCCTGGGTACTCATTTGGTTGGAACATGGAATTTATTCACGTCTTATGATTGATGTTATCTTGCTCATTACACTTGAAAGAAATTAGTTCTTGCTTTTCTGTATCACAGTTTCCTTTTTTGTTTCGATTGGCCGATTCACGTGTTCACATGATTACTGGGAGAATATAAACTTTATGATGAATGTGTGCTACTTTTCTGTTTCTTTCTTGATCAGTTTAATCACTCATGCTTATATTGTATTGAACAGTATGTGAGATGCGAAAACTTTGGAAACTCATTTGAATGGAAGCTGGGAATTTATTTCATGTCCTATGATATGCATTATCCTACGCTTTGCCTTACGTGAGTTCCTTCTACAGAAATCTGAAACTACGTAATAAATTTAAGTTGTGCAATTTCATAGAAATATAGATTGTGAAAATTTTTGCATTGCTTTGATTGCTTTTTGCACTATTTTTTATCTCCATCAGTCAAAGAGATCACCATATTATTGCACAGGTCATAGTTTTTTAACTGAAAAGGTTAATACACTTAACCACATTCTTTCAATTTTGAAGAAAATATATATTATGTTCTGCAGTATAATGCACTGTGCATATTATCTGTAACTTCTTATTTCAATCTTTCAAGTTATGCCTCCAACATGCATATTTCTGTGATTTATAAGAGCTTGTGACCCAACCTGTGTCGTTCGAATAGGCGTCACCCATGTTCTCCATCAAACCCTAAAATTGGGCAAGAAAATGATGCAGACAGTGAGAATATGATTCCTGAGCAAGGGGATGCTCGGTTTCATTTATAATCTGTCCGTAATAGAATTTATCTATAGAATTTTTCTGCTGTTTTGGTGGAGTTGCAGTTTAAGTAGATTGTGATGAAACACTTGTCATATTGCTTCATTTTCTTTATGACGAAATTAGTTTGTGATTTTCAAAACATTTTTTTTCTCTCAAACAAACATCAACGGAATATATTATACCCGTTCCACTCTCTGGAAAACGAAACCGTTTTGACTTTTATATAGGAACAAGGCACTCATGTTACTGTCGCATGAACAATGTACTCTTTTTGCTAGCAAAAGATTCTGTGTTCCAAAATGTGTTCCATCATGTTTCATTCAATTGGATGAATGCCATGTGTGTAATATAATTTCTATGCACTCGTTGATTCCCGTAATTATAATTTTTGAGTTTTTTGTAAATATTCCGTATGCTTTGTGCAACTGATAGAAGTAAACAATATTGTGATTAAGTTCTTGCACTTAGTGGAACGTATTGCACTTGATTTAGTGCCAATGGCATGTTCAAGACTAAGTTAAATCTTCCCACCTACCTGGTAAGTGCAATATATATTCAACTGCTTCAAATCTGGAGTAGAAATCCAGATCCAATTTCCTGATATGTACTCGTATCCACACGAATCAGACGAACCACGAATCTTTGCTAAATTAGACAAAAAAGATTAAAAATCCAATATAATTACACGAATCAAGAAAAGTCACGGTCTTCCTAACTCCCCTACAAACCATTCTGCCTGAATACACATCGGCAATCAAAAAATCTGGTCCCCTCTTTCCCTTTTTCCTTTTCCTGACAGAGTTGTCAAAGAAGGGGCCACATTACAGTAAGAAGACATAAAAATGAATGCTACCAGATTATTTTATCATTTTATACATGGTCTATTTTACGTCTTTGTGGACTCATAGCCAAAGAAGTCTGTTGGCCGAGTCTCGAGCACCGCGTGCAAGTGTTCAATGGTGATGACATGGGAGACGAACACTCCTTCAAGTGATGGGCTGATGAATGTAATGGCGAAGAGCATGTATGGAAAGCTCTTGATGGTGAGGCAGCTGGATTGGAGCTGGGGACTGTTTTCTTTGGTCTGGCTGGTGATCTTGGCGGCTCATATTTTGGTGTCTCTGGGCGAACTGTCTTCTTGAGAGCCCGTGATGGAGATGCCATGAAAGCCCGTGATGGGGAAGCCATGAAAGCACGCGATGGGGACGCAGCTGGGGAAAAGGTGGGTTTGGTTTTCTTCGTCTTGGCTGGCTCAGATTTTGCTGAGTCATTCTTTGGTTTGTCTGTGTAGGAAAAAATAAAGATTGATGAATTAGATAATATCGCGTATAGATTACTGCTCATTTATCTAAAAATGCAAACCGAAAACAAAAATCTAAGTGAAAATCCCTCTCCCTGCTTTTGGATTCAAGAACAAGAGAAGAAGAAGAAGAATAGACAGAACAAAGAATAAGTGAAAAACTGACCATGAGTTTTCTTGATTTTTAATTCCTTCAATTTCTTGAGAAGCGTAGGCTTCTTCACCGACCTGTCACAATCTTCTTCCTTCTGGACATTATTTACCTCCGGGTCAGCTTTTTTCTCGGGGGCTTCAGCAGAAGTATCTGCCACAGTCTTCTGGTTAGACTCACCATTATCCTGCAGTATCTTTTTCTCAGGTATCTCAGGCAATTTTGTGTGGCTCGAGCCCATTGTAAGCAACTTAACATCTAACGACTCAGACGAACTCTGTTTCTGGTCGACAGCAATCGGTCTCAATGCCTGCTTCACCTCCAGAATCTCACTCTTGTCCGGTTTCTGCTCGTTCACTTTTTTTGTCGCCAATTTAAGTTGTTGCTCCTGAAGTATCCGAGGATTGACCACCGGCCCATTCACTTTATCCACTCCGGTTAAGTTCTGGTCGGCTTTGCTCTCGACCGCGTGGTGAACTACGATCGGCGATTTTTGTTCCCTCACCGGAGTCACACCTCCGGCAGCCGTCCTCTGGTCAGCCACGGCACTGAAGAACCTTTTCCCGGGGCTTTCAGACCCGAACGACCGCTGGTCAAACTGGTGCATCTTGTGGTGTGGAATCTCGGATATGACTGAGCGGAGGTCGACTGCCATGGCCGAGTTCTTTGTGTCGATAATCTCCGAACAAACCGAGCGGCGGTCCCCCGCCGGCACCAGGAAGAGGTCGTCCATCTGCTCGTCGTCGAAAAGCGAGGCCGCCCGGTGAAAGGTTCTGCTCCCTTCAGCCGCTGGGTCCCACCTCCGGCCACACACCTTCTCCTTCTCTAGGACAGCATAAGTGAACATCTGAAAGGGAATCTGGGACACGGGCTGCGGGCCCGCCCCTCCGTTTGAAAACTTCTTCAGGTATGCGGCTTCCATGTCGTAATAGTCGACCAGCGGGGGCGGGGACTCGGGGTCCCCGTGGTTAGGGTTTATGGCGAGGTTCTTCTTTATGTAGCGTAGGATTCGGCAAATGCTGGAGAAGGTCGGGCGAGTGTCGGGGTTCGTCTGCCAGCATTTTCTCGTCAAGTTCTGGAGGTATTTGGGGGAAGGGTAAGAGAAGAGGGGCCGCTCCCCAGCTAAAATGTTCCGGACCATCTTCTCCCCCTGGAGGTGACTGTCCTCGAAAGGGACTTTCCCTGTCAGGAGCTCGAAGCAGAGCATGCCGAAGCTGTACACGTCGGATTTCTCGGTGTAGTTTGGGGCAGGCTTGGGCTTATTCAGTTGGTGGAGCTCGGCTAGCTGTTCTGGGGCTAGCCAGATGTTGAGGTCGACAACTCCTGTGGGTTGTTGTTTATTAGCAGTAGCAGTAGCAGTAGCAGTAGCAGATTTGGATGACGAGTGGGCCTTGAAGGAGGTCATTCCGAACCCCGTGACCTTTGCTTGGACAACCCCCCCATTCTTTACTTTTAAAAGAACGTTGGACGGGTTCAGATCGCCAAGATATATCTCTTTCGAGTGCAAATACTCCATTCCCCGTGCGATTTGCAGCATGATGTCCACCGCAGCCGGTATCGTGAACGGGATCTTATTCCTCTGCCCACAACGCTCTTTTATGTAAGAGCCGAGATCCTTGCTCATGAGCTCCATCACAAGAAACCCTTCTTTTCTATCCTCGTCGTAAAACGCGCACAGATACTGCAAAACGTTCGGGTGGGATAGCGAGAGCATGAGAGAGATATCGGACTGCAGAGGACTAATCTCCCCGTAAAAAGTCCTCAGCGCAAAATTCTCGCCCAACCAATGAATCTCCTTGAGTTGGCCCCCGCCCGATGGGTATCCCGACCCTAGTCGCCGCCTCACGAAATAATCGTGGGCCCCAACCAATGCCCTGCTCGGCAACAGCTTCCCTTCGTTCAACTTGTTCGTCAGTAGCTCCACGAGCCTCTGCTCGTTTTTTCCTTTCCGTTTACTCTTCTCCGCGACTTTTTCCGTCAGCAGCCACCTGTCCTCCTTCCAGGCTGTCTCCAGACGGGCGCAAATCTCGCGCGGGACCAAATACTGCCTCCCGAATTTCCATAGAAACAATTTGGGGTCGTCACAGTTGGGATCGTACTTCCGTAAGATGGCGGCTCGTTTTTTCTGCATTTCTTCCTGATCGACTCCCGAGATCTCGGCAGCTGTCTCGATAGCCTCGATAACGACAGGAAAGCAGCAGAGCAGATTGTGGATGTGAAGTTCGATGCAGTCGCGGTTCGTGTGGAGGCTGATGGCTCGGGCCCACCAGTCCTTTGCGTCCGTGCAGTGGCGTATGTAGAGTTCGGCCTCTTTGAAGATTTTGTGGAGCTCCTTCATCGGGAACTCCAGGGACTTCCACTTGGTGGTTCGGTCCTTGAGCCTTAGGTTCTGTTTGATTTCGTCCGAGATTGTGTCGAAGGCTAGGGACAGCATGTCGTAAAGGAGAGAGCATTGGCGCGGGTTGATTGGGATCTCGTGTTTAAGTATCATGAGGGCCTTTAGGCTGCCCAAAACCTCCCCGACCTGCCTGAATTGATCCATCCCGGGTTTTGGAAATGGAGAAGAATTTTGACCCTGTTTTGGATTGCTTTTGAGATGATTAATTAACAGAAGATTGAATCTTGTATGTGAGTTATATATGTATCATACAAAATTTGGCATAGCCTTTGAAAAAACAACAATAATGACATTTAGTTTTTCTTTTTTTTAAAACAGAAAACAAATTAGATTACCTGCGCAAAGAAATTCGTGAATGTTGAGATGATTATGGGTCGCCAGGCAGGAACGGGAAACTGCTGAAATTTCTGAAGGGTTCTTGATGAACTCCTGAAGAAATTCAGCAGAGACCCAAAATTGATATATAATCCTATAGAGTGGATTGTGGTAAAGGGAAAAATAAAAAAGGATGAATTAACAATAAAGGGAACATGCCCAACAAAGAAGTTTTCTTGAAAAACAGACAACCTTTTTAGCTGTTTGGAAAATCAAGAATCATAATGTGGAAAAATTGGGGGATATTATCCCCACACAAAATCAATTTTGGAACTGCAAGATCGACACAAAATACCTTTACAGCATGCAGTTTCGTGTTTTTTTTTTTTTTTTCTACTTCCNCTCTCATCACCTGAACAGTTTTTTGGCTGGTAGCAGCTTCTCCTGTGGCTGGGATTGAAGGCGAAGATTTTCGGGTGTTTTTGAGGTATTTTTCTGTTGTTACAGTAAATATGTTCCCGCGATTGTCGTTGCTCTTTCAGTTGCGGCTATTATTTTGCCTGATTTGTACGAGAAAATAGGAATATTTTGCTTACTAACGTCTACTGTTGCAATTGGGACTAGTAAGTTTCGCCTAATGGTCTTGTATTGACCTGTTTGTCCTTCTTTCAAATTTCGATAATTTCTACACCTGCTACCAGACTTTCAATTATCTCGTTGATATTTTTAATTTATTAATTAATATTATTATCATCGCCCCTTCTTTTCTTTCATCTTTTATTCTTTTTAATGGAAAATTGTGGCAGCTATCCTTCTAGCGTGAACTGCCCGCTAACCTAAAGTTTGAACTTGATTTTGCAATATAATATAGGTTCATAAATTATCCATTAATTTGGCATACTTGCACAAATGGTGCTTTATATTAGTCTACCATTAAATTTAGTAAATTATATTATTACTTTAATGGCGAATTAGTCCAATCCGTGCAATGCACAAACTGTATTTATTTTTTAGATTTTATAAATTGAAGTTTATTCGACAATAAAAGTTATCAATTGTAAAAGTTATCAATAAAAGTTATCATACACAGAGCAATTATCAATTGTAAAAGGTTCGAGATATAAATAAATAAATAAATTATCATACACAATGCAGTTATCCAATTATAATAAGTTTGAGATAAAAAAATATATATATATTATTGAAAACCTCATTGTACACAACCTTTTTAATTTGATTCATAGGCGATTCGTCGTACCCACAAACTAATATTTTCAACCCTTTTCACTTATCGGCTTAATTATTTATTTATACATTTTTATTAAAGTAATTGTGAAATATTGTATTAAATATAGCAAGGTATATTTTATAATTTTAAATATATTATATTAAAAAATTATTTTTAAAAATGATAAGTATACAAATTATTTAAACAATAATAGTTTTGTTATATGCATATGTCTCGGTCTACAACTTTATAGATTCCATTTATGCTTATTAAGGTTAATGTATATAGTACAATTTTTTAAAAAACCTACCTTGCGATTGTTCAGAGATATATTTATGGTAACCTGTTATTACCTTGGTGTAGCATAGTTCTAGAATTACATTTGCTCATTCAAATTTCTCTAAAAAAAATTAAAATCTTTATTTTCTCCATTGCATTACTATTTGTTTATTTGTATCTTATTTTATTCACAAATAAAATTTATTTATGCATTGTGTCATTTTTTTACTTGTTTTGTATAATGATGTTGTTATCAAAGAATCTTATTTAATAGGCTACAGCTAATATAACCACATAAGATAAAATATTATTTAATATTTCTTATTTATTTATTTATTTATAATATTAATATATTTAATAAAAATTATACTTTTATACTGTTTATAAGATTAATTAAAAAGTTCACATTTTTTTCAGTGTTTGATAAAATGTTATGTAACTAGCTCATTTTCATATTCATTGAAAATATATGTCACAACCATTATCGTGTTCTCTTTTAAAAAGTAATTGAACAATAGTTCAAGATACTACTCGTTTATTTCTCCTTTGAATTCACATAGTTAAAATTGGTAATATGTATAAGTTTACATCAATTTTTTACTTTTGTTTCTTAATATGAATATTTCAAACCTATGTAAGAAAGATATACCACATGTTTATCTTATGTTATTCTGTATTTAATAAAATTTATTTAACATGAATTTATAATTTATTTTATAAGATACTTTTAGGTCCATTTAATTACTTTTAGGTCCATTTATTTTATAGCTAAAAATATGATTAAGAGGGAAGTTTCAGTTATTTCTGATTGTATTAAAGATATGATACAACAAAATGTTGACAGTAGTTATGGGGTTAGATTGGTAAAAAATTGAGATATTGAATGGAAAATTTTCTGTATTCTACTATATTATGCGATCAATGTCTTTTCAAGGACTCAATAGAAATCCTTTACTTGTTATGCAGGGTTTTCATGGACAGCCAATCGCAAATACAGCTCATGCAGCACCTTACCCACCCGTTGTCCGCCCAATGTTAGGGTCGTCGCCCTCGTCACAACGTCCGACCATCAGCAAGAAATTTTTGAGGTTTCTCATCGATTTAGGGCTAGCCTTAGGATCGATTTTTTGTGTGTAGAATTAGGATCGATTCGGTATTTTTGAGATGGTAGTGTATAAATGATAAAAGGGTATATTTGTCATATGCTTTCAATCATATTATTTTATCCAGGTCAGTAATTGCTTGATTGTTTTTTTCCTTAAAATGCATCATGCTTTGTAAACATTGGACGAAAACTTACGCGTAAAGTTGATGGAATTAAACTGTCAAATCCCATCATTTTAAGTAAAGAAGGCCTATGTGGCTATGTCACCGCCCCTTATGTATGGAAAAGTTTTTTATAAAGCTGATACGTCATAAAAATGAACATCCTTATTAATTTGTTGGCAAAGCCAAAAGAATGAAGAAAAAAAAAGTTATAAAATCTCATAGCTCGTAGCAAAGCCCAAAAATTTAATTAAACGAATTGTATATCAATTATTTCAACTCAAACTCAATCCATATTCAAAATCTAACTCAACTTTAATTCAATCTCATTATCTTCAGTTTAATCAATATACTTAAATAATACAAACCAATCATTGTTACATATCACATAAATTTTCATTCCTAATTCATCAACTCGCATAATTTTAACTAACCATCACTTCACATCATCTCTCTTATACTTTTATATAAAATTAATTTTAATTATTTTATTTTAAATATTATTTTAATATAAATTTAAAATCACACTAACAATTAACCATACAATTTTTTTTTTAAAATTAAATGTGATCCATTGAAAAAACTCATTTTTATGCGGATATACAAACACACCCTTATTCCCCTCAACCTTGTAAATGCCAGTTGTTAATCTCCAGACAAAGCTTGCCTAAATTTCAAGTGGCATTTCTTCTTATGCCTTACTGGGCCTTCACTTAATGGACCGCCAACACAATTTAAACAGATGAACACCAAAATTACATAGGCCCTCTTGGGTTTAATAAATTGTTAGCCCAAACCAAGTGAGTTTGGGTGTTTAAATTAGATAGACAGGTGGCCCAAAGTACTGATATTTTATATTATAATATTGATATTTTATGGAAAATTGTAGAAAGGCAGAGCTGTTTCTTGCAAAGTGCAAACTCCACATANAATTAAAAAAAAAAAAAAGTGCACACTCCACATGTGAGGCGTGAGCACACTGACACCTCTGTCTGTTAGACCCCACAACACTTTTTTCTCATGATACAATAATATATAAAAATAATTATGACAACTTATGTACGTTAGGTGTGTAGTCTGTAAAGATTATCTACAAAATAGAGACAAAAGCATAATATAAAGAAATATAGCCCACACTTAGATATTAGGCCCAAGAGATCTAAACACTCCTGCCACATCACTCTCATGTCTGGTAGATGAGAGCGACCCTCATGGGCCCCCACTAAAATTCGGCCCTATATTAGGCTTCAGCCTTCTTGCCATTTGCCACCATCCCTAGTGAACCCATGAGCCTGGCCTCTTAACCCTTGCCCGACACGTGTATCGTTGAGATGCATTTCAGAGTGTAATTACCAAATTATATGGAGTCTATTTAAGCATGTGCTCAGTGCTCAATTAATTGATATGAATTTGATTGGTTTTTCATTAATTATAACTAATTTTGAAATATGTAGTATGTATAGTTGTCAATGAGAAATTAAGTTTAAATTAAAATAATATCTAAAATAAAATAATTAAATTTAATTTAACGTAAAAGGAGGAGAAAAATAATTAAAAATGATGATTAGTTAAAATTATGTAAGTGAATGAGTAGTGAATTAAAGTTGATGTGATGTGTAAGAATGATTGGTTGATATTTTTATTTTAAGTTTATATACAATCATACCCTAAACGAATAAAAGACTCGACTGTATAATGAACCAAAACTTCTCAACGAGTTAATGTATACATTCTTACAGTTTTGCGTGAAAACTAGGGTTATTTGCAGATAGAATCATAGAAAAAAAATTAATTAAACAAGACTATTAAATAAATAAATAAATAATTGAAAAATAAAATAATTTTTATTGCTTTTCTAGACCTTTGAACTAATAAATTATCTCAGGGTTACAAAGATCTTTAAAAAATTACATTCAATCAGTCACGAGGACACCAAGAAGAAGAAAATAAAAATCATATCACTGCAGAGAATATTTATTCTCACACAACTTGTTCTGACCAAACATCATAAGAAAACAAACGAAATACTTAGGGCCTCAAATTCCATTACAAAGTACATATTTTGTCATTAGCTCATTTATTTGTGTAATGGGCCAAGTTCATATTTAGTCATTTACCCTTTCATTTATGTAAATAAGTCAAGTCCAACACAATACATTCTATACATATATATATATATATATATATATATATATATATATAATATATAATCGAGGTCCCAAATAAATGAAGATCCTAGGCATGAGCCTAGCTTGCCTCCCTCAAAAGCAGGTCTGCTAATGACTAAGATGCATTATTATTTATTTCACATAGTATATTTTTCACTTGAACTCAACTCTATATATATATCACATAGCATATTTTTCATTTCAACTCAACTCTATATATATATATATACGTATATCTGTTTTTGCGTTAACCCTCTAATGATATTTTCTATTTGGGTATAAAAAAATGAGTTAATGCAAATTTATGGTAGTATTCTCATGCCTTAAGACTTCAACGTGCTTATAAATCAGGACACGTGTGGCCTGTTTCTTAGTTAGAAGACGAAGAATAGATTAAGGTTTACTTTTTCATTTAATTAGTATAATATTATACTAATTGCGAGGCCTAATGCTT